AAGTCATACAGATAGGGAATTACCAAGGATATCATCCCCAGCCATTTGTAATCCCATGTTTATTTGAACTGACAAATTCAATGGAGAAAACCCTAACCTTCCACTGATATCAACAACTGATTCTGTAAAGTCCTATTCTCTTAAAGACTTTATTTAATTTCTGGTTTCCAGGTGGGGACATGAACCATAGAATCAATCCATCATAGGCACTTTATTCTGAATTGCTACAAAGACTGTCTCTCCACAAATTCACTTCCTGCTTATAAAAACAAAAATCTGCACCCGTAAGCCATGCAGCCCAGGTTAGAGTACTCAACAGGTCCACAAACTTCAGAGGAAGGGGAGATATTCTGGATGTTGATCAGAACTGAACTTGAATGCTGGGGTTTGATATTCAACCAGCATAAGCTGTCATAAAAGCATTAGGCTTATTATGTAGTACTTGAATTAGGACAATACCTAGAGGCCCTAATCAGGGATTGTTCTAAGAACTGTACAGTATAACCCAAAGATAACTCCTGCCCTAAAAAGCTGACAATTTAGACCCTGACCTATAAAAACATACACAACTTCTGAATGTTATGAATGTTGACTAGTCCCCTTGACATAGATAAATTATGTGGGTCAATCTTTGCTGGATTGAGGCCTGGGTCTCAAGCATCTCTTCTCTCTGCTGAAGGGCAAAAGTTTGCCATCACACATGCATGTAGGTGTTACTGAAGTCAATGGGAGGTATGATCATGTATGCACAGGTGGAGTGGAGCCCTGAGGGTGAAAGAAACATGCAGTAAAAGCTCAACAGAAATGACACCCTATGAATATACAGAGATATGCTTAGGTATGCATGAAAATGCTTCTGTTGCCATATACATATTTTATCAATAATTTTAGACTGAAAAATTGTGATGGGAAATGTATTTCTAAGTGATTATTTGTGGCCTGCTTTCCATGGGTTCAACAAACCTGGGGCTGAAGGGCGTCAAGAGTGTCCATCCACAAAAAACATGGGCTCTGACAGACGTACAGGTCTCCACTCTAACTCATAGCGCTTCAAATAAAGCACCATGAGTTAGAGCGCCCACCCCCTGGCCCAAAAGATGTCTGCCTGTTGGGTTGTGGGGGGCGGGAAAATCAAGTTCCACTTCGGAGCCAATCCAGGGGAGGAGTCTGCCTGCAATCTCTCCGTCCTAGCATCTCTCCCACCACACCCCCTGCCCGTGTCTGCCTGACCCGAGCTGGAAGAGGAGGAGGTGGGGGGCTTCAATCCACTCTTCCCCACTCCAGCTTAGGCCAGGCAAATCCCATTCCACAGCTCCCTCCCCTCCCCCTCCCTTCTTGCAGACAGCACCGAGGGGGAGAGAGGAGCAGGGGGCAGCTGGGCTGCATCAGCCCAGCCCCAATCACACTGACAGACTGACCCCAGGGAATACAAGCTTCCTAAGGTGCTCCACTTCAGAGCACCTTCATCTGATCCCTCGTTAGATGAGGGTTAATTTGTCTCACAATTGGCTGCTTCCGAAGTGCTCCACACCTGTGCACGTGTCACGGCAAAGCTGTACAGCACTTTCAGGAGGCCAATCACATGACATATGTCACTTCTGTCAGCACTCATACAGAGTCTTGATGCTCTTACACAACAGACCTTCACAGAACTGAGCAAAGAGTGGGAAAGGGTTTTCCTAGCATTCCTTTCAACTCAAACGTTTACATTCCACAAACTTCAGACATACATTGGTTCATCATCCAAGTTGCAGTTATTATTTCTGATTTCGGACTGGATAAGTGATGCAGCTAACCAGCCTAGGCCGTGATTTAGCAAAGCACTTAATCATACCCTTAACTTCAAGTATATGTATATATCCTCTTGATATCTATCAGCTGCATACAGATGCATAAAATTAAATATGTCCTTCAATGGAATAGAGGTGGGATTACTCATGTGCTTAAGTCCTTTCCTGAACTGAGGCCACTGTGGGTGAAATTCACCTCTCATGCAGAGGTTTATACCCAATATAAGTTTCAGCTATGCCGTCAATACAGCATTTAAGTGAGACTTTGGGTATTCAGCCTTGGAGAAGAGTGATGCAGGGGTTGGGAACATGGGCAATTTGAGTTCAGCTCCCTGTTCCACCAGACTTTTTCTGTGGCATCAGGCTTAGCTCTTCTGTGCCTCAGTTCCCCCATCTGTAAAATAAAGTTAACAGTAATGCTATATATGCTATATCTGTGTGGAGTACTGTACTAATACATGTTATAGATTATGCTGCATTCAGATAGTGCAGTAACAGAAATCATGTAAGCACTTAAAATAAGTCATGTTGCTGGCCTTTGGGAAAGGGATGAATTCCATAAATGCACAGACTGAAATTCATATAGCATCAGTAGCATAACTGAAAGGGTGACTAGGGCAGCAGCCCTGGGGTCTGCCTTTTTGGGGGAGCACAAAAACAGGTGCTGCTGCAATGGTAGACAGTCATGCTGTCACAATCAGTCTGGCAGCAGCCCAAGCTACCCTGTGCGTCATGGCTGCCCCAGGCATGCAGCTGCCTGGCTACGCCTCTGCACAGCATGATTTTGTTGCATAATCCAGAGTCACATGAATTATAGCATGCACTGAGACCTGAACATGAGATTAGACTGTTTACACTTTGTTTCCACTTCAGGTCAAGAGATGCTGACGGAAGAAATCTGTGAATTTAAAATGGCAAATACATTTGACCATTTTGTAACCTGCTCACCAACAGTCTTCAAACAGGAAAAAAAAGTGGTTATTTAAATGAACTATTCATTGAATTCTAGATATTTCAAATAAAAACAAAAATCAGAGCCAGCTAAACATTGGGTTTGATGGACACGAATACACCCTCATTGAGTTCTGGTCAGTAATCTGCTTTTATAGACAAATTTCTGAAGTGTTTTCACTAGACACTTAACTCTGGGGGAAGTAATATTCTGCTGTAAACAGCAGACACATTGCATGCCAACTTAAGCAGATATTATGAAGCAAAATAATCAGAGATGCTTTTATGGAAAATAATCATACTTGTAGTAAGACTGTAAGAAACCTTGCAAAAAACGTCTACCAGTTGGTTGAAGACTGACTACCATATAGAAGTATCTGACACAGCAATGACAGTGTAGTTGATTCCAACACATGTAGGCAGCCACGTAAAGCACCTTTGGAAACATCCTGAAGATTTCTTGATTGATATGGAAGATCCCACTAGTATCCACTTCATATTTCAGTTTCGTTCCCAGGGGAGTATTTTTCTGGGTGGTGAATAGAAATGCAGGGGCATTGCAACATCTGGATAGAGTAGACCTGTAATATAAATAGCAAAAAGAGATTATGTATGAAAACTAGGTCTTACAATTACCATGGAAATCACTGCCCATTCCTTACAGATGGTAAGGAATCTTTCAAAAATATATATGGGGTTGGTTATATGCTTTTTTAATAGGAGAATGCTGGTGCACCAAAACCAAAGCCCTGCTGGACTATACCAGGTCTGATGAACACGTTTACAATGAAAAATGTTCTCAGGTCCAGGAATACCTGGTTGAAATCAGAGACAGGGATACCCCAACCTCTCAAAACAGCAAATGGCTTCACTGACAGTGCACACAAGCTACTGGCTATCTCGGGGAGAGCCTGACCCATGGGCAACTGGTGCCTCCTGAGTCTGGGGGCGGGCACCAGATCACTGATGGAGGGGATGGGGGGGGGGTCCCCCAGCGACCAATTGCCAAGGGGAGGTGGATTTCCGGTTTCGTGGCTGGTGCTTCCAGGGGGTGCACAGCCGATCACAGGGGGTGCATGTGCACCCGCATGAACCCCCTACACATCGCCAATGGCCTAAGGCTTTCTCAGTCTCCCCTGTTATCATTCCACTTTGTATTAATCAACTGTTTGTGGGACCAGAGGCCATCTCTACCGCACAGTAGAAGGGACATTCACCTGGGATGCAGGAGACTGGCAGTATAGGAACTTGTCCCTGGGATTCCCAAACCCCAAGGAGTGCTTCCCTCCCTCTCTCTCCCTGCCCCAGTTCTTCTGGAGTCTCTCTCATTTCTGAAAGAAAATCCTTACTTGTATCCTTCTGTGAAACAAGAAAAGTTCTGAAAGTCTGAAACATTTCAGAGGATAGTCTCCATTGAACTCTAGCCCTGATGACACTATTGATAGTGCTCTACACTCACTACAGAGTTCATGTTCAATTCCAATAAGAAGGGATGCATCACATCCAAAAAGGAAGCCAGTTTCTTGGTTCACACCTTTCATTTAATGCTTGTTTGCTTTTATCTTTGGATCCAAAATCCAGTCATCATCTCCACTTCTATTCCAGGAGAGGTTTCCTTCTGAGTTAATGCATCTGATATTTTGGTGGTGAGTAGGTTATGACAAATGCACACATTTACAAATAGGGCAAACTGGTTCCCAGCTGAATTACCTTTGCTCTTAGGGTAAATGGCCCATGTTATAAACTGAAAGAATAAACCAATTCTGTATGCTTTTTGTGGATGTTATTTATATAGTCTATATAAAGAAATGTAGAATCAAATATACATATTGCAAAGGCTGAAGTTCTACAATTTGATGAGGCTAATTGAGAGAATGATACAATGCTCCAATCAAAGTCATAAATGAGGCTGAATCAACAGATGAATGGGAATAAATTAACAAATAACTACAAGAGATACTTGAATCGAATCAGGAGGGTGATACAGGAAAGAACTGCTCTTTCATTATTTCTGCACCAGGAGAGTGAGGGAAGAGCCCTTCTCCTCTATCCTACAACCCCAACTTGTGTTCCTGGAGCATCGACCTAGTTCACCACTATGAAGGTCTGCTCTAGTCTTAATCTTTCACCACCAGAGCACTGCACCACCCTGTCCCACCCTTTGGGGCAAGTGCTGGACATGGAAACTGGTGGGAGGAGAAGCTCAGACAAGCAATGGTAGGAAGATGTCCATGTAGGAGCTGGGGGCTGCAGATGAACCCCTCATGAGCTGCATGAGGCCTGGGTTGGACAGCCCTATTATAGGGGAAGATTTATGAACTCTCCCAGTGACTTTTAACCAGGAGAGGAAGCACTTCTTTTCATCCATATCTTTATTACAAGAGGTTCCACTTGCTCTAAAACAATGAAAGTCTTCCCAGGACCAAGCCAAACAGGTTCCTAGCACAAAGCTGAAACAAGGCTTTGGGTCCAATCAGACATTGCTGCTACACAGCTGGAGTCCTTAGCTTGTTCTGAGGCCATTTCATATGAGCTTCAGCAAGGGGTGGGCACATGAGATGCGACAGAGGTACCAGAGTAATAAGTAGCAGAGGTCTCTGGAGGGCAGAGAAGTGGCCAAAGTCCTCAGGAAAAGATAACTGAGCAGGGTTAATAAAGGGTACAGCAGGATGGGATACAGCAACCTGGACTCTGAATACAGAACAAGTAATACCAAATTCCATGGAGATGTTTCTCATGATGACAGGGCCAAATCCTCCCCTAAAAGAAAGTCCTCACTGCCATCGTTGTAGAGGCGCCCTTTCACACTGGCAAGGTGAGCCTCCAGCGATTCTAGTGACGCCAGCAGAGAATTTCGTCACAAAGAGCAGGGTGGCACTTCTGATGGAGGGGCAGGACTGAGAGCCAGAGCCCCAGGTTTCTCTTCTCTGGTTGGCCACAGACCCACTGTAACCTGCAATAAGTGCTCCGTGGCCCAGCTTGCACGCTGTCTCCTCACTCCCTGACACATGCATGGCATGAGGTTGGGGGAGACTGTCACAGACTGATTTCCCCTCCTTCACAGGGAAGTAGATATTTTATATTTTATACTGCAGCTGACAAACCAAGGAGCAATGGGCTCCAGTTGCAGCAAAGGAAGTTCAGGTTAGATATTAGAAATAACTGTCTCATGAGAAAGGTAGTAAGCACTGGAACAGGTTACCCAGAGAGGTTGCAGACTGTCCATTCTTGAAGGTTTTTAAGACCCAGCTGGACAAAACCTTGGCTGGGATGATGTAGTTGGGGCTGGTCCTGCTTTGAGCATGGGGTTGACCTAGATGTGACCTCCTGAGGTCCCTTCCAACCCTCATTTCTATGATTCTATATTAGATGCCTCAATAGCAACCTGCCCCTTGCTACTTAGCTTTCCTTTTATAAACCCTAGTCAATTCTAATTTAAATGCATCAGCGCCCCAGACCATAATGAATGGTAAAGAGTAACAGGGTCCTGATGTCTTACTTGCTTCTTCATAGCTATCAATGTGATCATTTCATCTGATTGCAACCAGCTGTGGTCAAAGACAGCTCCATCAGTTACCATTGGGTAGCAACCCTTCTTACTTGAATAGGTTAGCTGCTGTTACATTCATCTCCCATTTGCATATCTGCAAGCTCTTCCACCTGTCGAACAATTCAGTTTGCTTCACCCTAAGGAAGAAGAAAAAAAGACACGCGGAAGTCAGAGTTTGCTTTTATTAAATGCCTTCATCACTATTGGTAACACTTCCTTAGGCAGACATGAGACAGTCACGGAGCAGGAAGAGCTGGATGCGCCATAAGGATCCCCTCAGTCCAAAACAATCCCAGCGGTTCTTACGAATTTCATTGCTCAATTGCCCAGAAGTCCTCAACCAGTATGGGAAATCCACTGGTCCAGGCTCTGTAAAAAAAAAAATATTCCCTATTCCAGTGGTTTTCAACCTTTTTTCATTTGCAGACTCCTTAGAAATTTTGAATGGAGATGCAAACCCCTTTGGAAATGTTGAGTGGAGGCGTGGACTCCTTTGAATTGTAAGTGTGGGTATTCACATACTTTTGATTGATCATAGTCATCTTTTGCAGACCCCTTAGACATAGTCTGTAGACCCCCTGGGGTCCATGGACCACAGGTTGAAAACCAGTGCCCTAAACAGCCCCTACAGTTTAAGACGGCACAGCAGACTTAGAGCAGGAAAGGAAGCAGGAGACAGCGGGTGAAGTGACTTGCCTAAGCGTTGTGCAAAAAATCAGTGATCAGGAAAGAGTGCATCACACAGGGTCCCAGCCCCGTACCTTGAACCCTAGAACTGGAAGGTTACCACTTTTCATTAAAGGCAGACCCTGAAGTTGAATGAAACTGTCAGTTGTGCCAATGTCCACCTTCATAGTTGCTCCTAATCTCCAACCTAAATTTCCCCTGCTGCACCTTAAGGCCATTGCTCCTTGGCCTATCCCCTACAGCCACAGAGACAAACCCATCTCTATCCTCTCTGTAAACACCCTTCAGCTTTTGAAGATTGTTATCAAATCTCCCTTCAGTCTTCTCTTCTCTAAACTAAATAGCCCGAACTCTTTCAGCCTTTCCTCATAAGTCGTGCTTCCCAGACCTCTAATAATTTTTGTTGCTCTCCACAGGACTCTTTCTAAACTGTCCACATCCTCCTTGAAGTACAGGGCCCAAAACTGGACACAGTGCTCCAGGTGAAGCCTCGCCAGTGCTGAACAGAGCAGAAGAATGACTTGCATTGACTTGTACGTGCCACTCGTGCTCTGGCTAAGCAAGGATGCTAGGCTGCTAAGGAGAGACTGGGAAACCCCAGGAAGACCTGTGTGCTGCTTGGGGAGGAGCTACAGTAGAGAAGAGGCTCTGAATCAGGGAAGAAATCAAGGTGATGGCCGCCCTGTGGATGAAAAGAAATGCAAAACTCCAAAACTCTTGGTGCAGAGATGATACCTTTTATAGGGCTAACTAAGAAATGGCAAAAAAAATTACCTCTCTGCGAGCTTTCAGGCACACAGTGCCCTTCTTCAGGCTAAGGGAAAATTAAAGATGGCAAAAGTCCCCTTAGGTAGAAAAGAAACTTCATTTTGCACAGAGGAAGCAGAAAGTAGATGTCTGGATCTCTGGGTCCATGAGAGTTCCTCTGTGTGAGTTGCTCTTTGATGTGCAGATAAGGCAGTTTTTTTTCCCCTGGTGGTGTCAGATGGCAGTAGACATTTTTCTTTCTTGTTTAGCAATGAAGTTTCCAAAATTGGCTAAAAAAGAGTGCATGTGCTCAAAAGCTTGCAAAGAAAGATATATATTTTTTTGCGATTTCTTAGTTGCTCTAATAAAAGGTATCATCTCTGAACCAAGAGCTTTGGAGTTTTGCATTTCTTTTTATCTCAGATGAACACGGCTACCAAATACATCCCTGAAACTGGGTGAAAGGCATAGAGCAGATCCAAGGATCCAAGTAGGACTTAAACTTTGTTGGGGGATGTTTCTCTGCTAAGATGCCTGGGTGAAGGCCTTCCTGGTATCTTTGATGAACTTTATAAAAGAACAAGATCCTTAGAGGATCTGGACTGCTATGTAAAATCCTGAATGGGTCCACATGGAAAACAAAGACCAAGCAAATGTGCACAGCATGCACCATCTCAGACTGCGAGGGGATGCATAGAAGAGAACCACACCATTGTCACAAGGCATTTTTCCCTGCTTCATTTCTTGTTAGTGCCTTGTCTAATGTAGGCTTCACTTCAGAAGCTATTACACAGTAACCTTAGGATGACGGATATATTTTGCGGATAGCCTTAACTTCATTTAGTCATGCTTTGATGCATTGTAATAAATGCCTTCACAGCTCAACTTCTCTGCTCCCATATACTATACTGCAGCCATAAACCTGTGTTCAGTATGCGTAACTGCAGCTTGGAGTTCATCGCCCCGATATGATGCCAATGCTTCAGGCTTCAGTTGTAGGTAGTGATGGGGAAACAGTTTGAAAAAGAGGAAACAAATGAAAAAGTACCTAGCAGTGGGGAAACATCCTTATTGCTAAGTAATCTCATAGAGCAAGGTATGCTATAGTCCTCTGCTAGAAATGAGCCAGATTTTTCTGTAGACAGATGCGTGAAAGACAATATTGTACTCCAGGGCAAAGCCTAGGACTATGACCTGTAAGGCTCAGCATTTTGGAACTGTAATACATTTCCAGAAGTTATTTCTACCTCACATTTTATGTAAGTTTTCCAATATTTGGCCTTTAATAACTAAGGAGAGGGACTAGGATTACTGGATTTCATGGAGATTTTTATGGAGTTTGAGGTTTCTTTGAATCTGCTGGATCTTGGTGTATTCCCTTTGGGGTTGAGGACTTTGAATGCTCTCTATCCTGTCTTTCAATAAAAGAAGGCTTTGAAGAGCTGTTTTATACTTAAACTGGACGCAACTTTGAATTTTCCAGAGTAAGTCACACATAAAGAACTAGGTCGTTCTGCAGCCTACCAGAGCATACTAATTTAGAAATCTTCCATTATCCCCCCAAGCTCTCTAAAGAAGAATGGATATTCTGTACGCACATTAGAAAAACACAGCCCAGAAAAAAGCCTTACTATGTTAAACAATATATACTGTACATCCAAATCTAACATTATCCCATTAAGTCAGAGTCCATTAACAGTTAAGCACTACTTGGTAAGTGAGAGAAGGGATTTCCCTCTATGCCACCTAGTGAGTATCTGAAAATCACATATCCAGGACTCACCATCTCCAACACGAACACTGGTAAGGGTCTCAAGTTCTCATTCTTGCTATTTATTTTTAAGCACTGAGAGTCAGCAAACAAGATAAAGTTGTTACTCCAGTGTCCTTCATCCAGTGCCAGTTATGAAGGAAGAGGTTGTAACCAGCATTTTTATCTGTGCAAAGTCAATGAGGGAGGCTTGCATCCAAGATTCATAGACACTAGGGCTGGAAGGGACCTTGAACGATCATCAAGTCCAGCCCCCTGCCCCAGGGGCAGGAAGTCAGCTGGGATCATAGGATCCCAGCAAGATAAACATCCACATGTCTCTTGAAGGTGCTTGAACCACCTCTGGCGGCAGTCTATTCCAGACATTGGGGGCTTGGACTGTAAACAAGTTCTTCCTTATGTCCAGCCTGAAATGGTCATGGAGGAGTTTGTGACCATTCAACCTTATAATCCCTTGGGGTGCTCTGGTGAACAGTCATTCCCCCAGATCCTGGTGGTCACCCTGATAAACTTATAAGTGGCCACCAGATCACTCCTGAGCCTGCGCTTTTCCAGGCTAAAGAGCCCCATGGCTCTCAGCCTGTCATTGTAAGGTCTGTTTTCCTGAACTCTGATCATGCACGTGGCTCTTCTCTGCACTCTCTCAAGCTTGTCCACATCCTTCTTGAATTGTGGAGCACAAAACTGGATGCAGTACTCCAGCTGCAGCCTCACCAAGACCGAGTACAAGGGGAGAATGATGTCCCGGGATTTGCTTGAGAAGCATCTATGGATGCAAGCCAG